AGGTGATCCTTTTGCCTCAGCCTTACAAATAGCTGGAACTACAGGCACACACTACCACGCTTGGCTAATTTTTTGATTTATTGTAGAGATGTGGTCTCGCCAAGTTGCCCAGGCTGTTCTCAAACCTGTGGGCTCAGGCAATTCCCTCACCTTGGCCTCCCAAAGTGCTGGGATTACAGACTTGAGACACCGTTCCTGGTTCGGGTAATTTTTTAAAAGACTTCAAGCTTCTGACAAAGCTAAGGGATATATCTGATTAATTCTATGATTAAAGCAAATATCCCTGACTCATGGAAAACTGAAGCTATTATGCCAACTTCATATCCAATCATGTATCATTATTAATGATGTCCATGTGCTTTTCTGATTCATCTCTGTTTCCCATTTTCATCTCTCACAGTTCAGCACAGTGTCTAACACAAAAGATGTTCAAGCTTTAATAACAAGAAATACTATGTGTTAATTGCTCTTATGTTCTGGGCATTTAATAGAAATATTTTGTCAGAATGGCCCTGTGTGGTAGATTTTATTCTCATTTTACAAATGAGGAGTATGAGGCTCAGAAAGGGTAAGGGAAGGAAAGCAGCCTCAGAGGGACTGAGTACCAGCTAAGAGCCCAGGTGAGGTAGAGGGTGAACCTAGGTTTGCCCCAGTTCGCTGCTGATCTCCATACCTTACCATCCTTTTTAGGGAGTCTACAACAAATTTTACTCAGGTTAGTCAGATGCCTGATTGGACTATAGACTGGGAGCCCCTACATCACTTTCTAAAAAAGAGAATGTAGTCTGGGGATGCTATCTGCAGTTGGAGACTTTACTGTCAGAAAAGGAAAACATACATAAGGCAAAGGGGGTACATTCTAGAATGTCTGATAATTCAGGAGAGGTAAATACAAATTCAGAGTGCAGGCTCTGGAGCCAGAATTTGAATTCAAATCTTGGTCGGTCACTTAACTCAATGTGCTACATTGGGCAAATTACTGGATTGTTCTGTGCCTCAGTTTTCTCATCAGCAAAATGAGGACAATAATAATAGTACTTACATCACAGCATGGCTGTGAGGATTAAATGAACTGTTACACATATCACACTCAGAATGGTGCCTGGCATTTAGGCTGTGCTCAGCAAATGTTGGCTGTACATAAAAAAGAAAGAATATCAAACAGGGAGGAAGGCACAGCTTTGTAAACAAAAGCATCCAGTCAAGTGGGGGGACACTGTCTTGGGGATCAGAGGAGCAGTAATTAACTCAGACTGAATGTGGGGAGGGGCAATGGGGACTTCACTGCAGAGGGGACACTTGGCGCGAGATTTACAGGGTATGTAGGAATTAGTCAGGGGGTCTAGCAGACAGCAAAGATCTTTGAGGTAGAGGCGCTGGCTTGAGTGGAGACCCAGAGGCTGGAGAGCCTTAAACTTGAGCCTAGGATAAGGAGTCTTGGGGGAGGGAGGAGGGTAGAAAGAGAAAAGAGGAGACCCGAAGGGAAGAGGCCCACTGTTGCTGGGAGACCCACTCCACTGAGAGAGTCATGGGCCTCTTCAGCTCCTCAGGCCTTAGCCTCTGCCCACCCTTCCAGGAGTGGGAACTCTGCCACCCCCCAAGAGGTGGGGAGGAGATGTCAGATTTCTCTTCTGGACAGCTGAGTGGTCCTTAGGGATTTTCATGGTCCCTGAGACTTCCAGCCAGCTGGAGCTCTCATTTCCATACGCATCAAGTTTGCTCTTTTTCCACTGTTAATAAAAGATGTGTTCTGGTGACACCTGAGTGGGAGTGAGGTTCTGTTAGAGTGACAGGTGGCTGTTGGGCCCTGCCAACAGGAGGAAGAACCCAGCCTGGAGGCAGCAGGGAGAAGAGATTCACAAAGAGGAGACTGGGAAGGAAGACAGCCCGCTGCCCAGAGCTGAGCCCACAGTCCAAATTGTAGCCACTAGCTACACATGACCATTTACACTTTTAAAATCATTTGTTATTTTATTATTTCAATTGATGAAAAAAACTTGTATATATTTATGGTGTACATGATGTTTTGATGTATGTTTATGTTGTGGAATTGCTACATCAAGCTAATTAACAGACAAATTATCTCACACCCTTATTTTTCGGTGTGGTAAGAACTCTTAAAGTCTACACTTAGCAATGTTCAAGTATCCAATATAATGTTATTAACTATAGTCACCATGCTGTACATAAATTTAAATGTGAATAAAAGATAAAACAAAAAATTCAGTTTCTCAGCTGCACTAACTATATTTCAAGTGCTCAATAGCCACAGGAGGCTAGAGGTTACATATTAGACAATGCAGATTTAGGACTATTTCCATCATCGCAGCAAGTTCTGGTGGTCAGTGCTGGTCTGGAACATGGGCCTGGAGGCACTACCAGGAGGTGTTTCTTCCTGCAGCTGCATAGGAAATTATATAGTAATTTCAGAATGATGGAAGAAGCTGTATTTCCCAGAACCATGTCACGGTCTGCATTGTATTGGTATAGCCAGAATCTCTGTTATGCCTTTTGGGGTAAACAGTATAAACACATATGGGCCAAACTGTTCTGTTTGATAAAGAGTGGGGAGTCTGACTTGAGCAATGAAGAATCCCAGGTGTTACAGAAGCCAGGGAACATAGGCTTCCTATAGAGGAAGGGGGAAACATGTGTCATGCCCAATGCAGTGGCAGAAAAGCAGAGGAGGGACCTAGGGTAAAATGGTCATGTTCGATGGGAATTTTTTTAGTGGAAAACGAGAAGTTTTGCAGTGTGACTTCCACTGTTATTTTAAAACTGCAGCAGAGACTGAGAATGAAAGAATGCTCAGTGTGCCTGCTTTTGGTATGGAAGTCAGAGAAGCTGCTGAGTTGAAAATAGGGTGAGTGATCCAGCATAGGCCTCGTCTCTACAAAACAACAACAACAAAAATGAGCTGGGTATAGCAGCCTGTACCTGTGTACTCCCAGTTACTGGGAAGTCTGAGGCAGGAGGACTGCCTGAGCCCAGGAGGTCGAGGTTGTGGTGAGCCATGGTTGTGGAAAAAAAAAAAAATTGGGTGAGTGGTGTGGGCCCATTATCATTCTCAGAACAACATTTGTAGAACATGGGCACCGGTTTGGCCCTGTGTTAGGCAACAGGATGTGAGAGCAGCCAAGACAAACCCCCTTTCCACTCACCATACAAATCACCGCAAGAGAGAGTAGGCCACACATGGAGAGATTCTAGGTGCTCAAAGGACATGAGAGAGATGTGATCTAGGGGGAGGGGATGTAGAAAGCCTCCCAGGGAAGGCATGTCTGTGTCAAGCTGTGGGGGAGGCACAGAAGCCACCACATGAGAGGTGCCATTGTGGCAGAAAGGGGTTAAAAACCGTTAAAATTATTTCTTTTAAAAATCAACTTGTGGAGCAACCCCTTCGGGCCCTCTCCTGCTGTGGGAGCTTTTCTGTCCTTAATAAATTCTGCTTTCTCAGTTTCCGGCTGTCCATGTCCCTCATTCTTCCTGGGCATGAGACAAGAGCCTCGACCCTGAAGAACTGCAGAAGATCATCAGAGTTGAAAAGCCATGCACCCCAGAGGGCTAGGCTAGCCAGCCTGTTAGAGCCAACACCCTGCCGCCAGTTGCAACACTCAGGGCTTGGCTTGTCAGCCCATCAGAGCTTGTGGGGCTAGGCTTACCAGCCCCTCCACAACTCTCTCTGGGGCTTGGTTGGCTGACCCATTGAGCTGACACTCTTGAAGCCCAGGCTGACCTGAAAAATCCGCGTCAGTTTTGGCACCCGAACGTGGGGCTTGACGGAAGGAGGCCATCAAACTCCAAATGGTGATGCAGATGGAACATTATATGGAAGCTTCTTTCTACCAAGGACCTTTAGATCGCCTTCTGGAGGATCCCTAGCTGCCCTCCCCATACGTCATCCATAATCAACAGGAAGAAGTCAGATCGGTCATCAACCTCACTCCCTAACGGCAGTCAAGGTTAGTACTCCAGAGGGGGGAATGAGACAGGAGATAGCTAGAGAAAGGTTAGGCAGACAGACAGGGGAGTTCTCTGGTAACAATGTAGTGAACTCCAGGCAGGCCTCTCAGGCTCAGCATTGGTAAACAAGCTCCCTGTAAGCTTCTCAAGCTAGAGCTAAAGTCCTCACTGCTGGAATTGAAAAGCAACCAATCAGAACAGCAACAGCTCACAGCTAGTGCTAGCCAATCGGCTTGGACTTAGGGCTATATAAGTACCAGGGTTTCAGTCCCAGATGGGCAACCCCTTTGGGCCCCCTCCTGCTGTGGGAGCTTTTCTGTCCTCAATAAATTCTGCTTTCTCACCAAAAACAAACAAACAAAAAAAATCAACTTGCAAGCTCCAAAACCTGCTATACATGGTGGCTTGAGAAAACCAAATAGCCAAAGGTCACTTTCCTGAACATGCAAGATAATAATCCATTCACAATCTTACTCCACATCCTCTCTTTGTGAAGTTATTGGTTTACAACCCCTGCTTGTCATGTATACCCTGGAAACAATTAGTTCTTTGAAAATCTGGTTTTGCTAAATACCACCTTGCAAATTCCAAAGAAAAATGTATAGCCATACAACCCAACCCCCTCCCTTACCTAAACTAACAGATAAAACCCCTATCCTCTTTCTCCGGGTTGCTCAGCCTTGGAGCATTAGCCCACTGAGTCGCACTGGCACTAATAAACCGCTACTTCCTAAGATGGCCTTGGTGTCACGGTCTTTCTGTTTTCCCGCAACACCCTGAGGTGGAAGGAGTGTTCAGGCAGTGAAACAGCTGGGTACAGATTGCAAGTGCTCTGCATTTTCCATGTCACCCCCTCCAGGTCCTTCGTGGTGTGCTGGTGAACAGCAGAGCCTGCCGTACCTCTAGTGGGCCTCGCCCGAGGTGCTCTTCTTGTCAAGCCCTCTTGGGACAGAGAGTGGAAGAGACTCCCATTCCCATCAGAAGATGCTGAGCCCTGTGGACATCGAGAGGTCCTGGTTGACCCTCAGCCTGCTCACCTGAGCTCTGTCAGTTTCTTTGCCATGGGCCAAGGTTTGTTCCGCATGGTGGCAATGAGCTTCTTTTTTTCTTCCACCTCCTCCAGGATCCGGGCCAGTTCCTCCTCAGACAGGGACTCCCTGCCAGAGGCACTGGAAGCCAAGGAGGATCTGGAGGCAGAACCAGAGGAACGTCGGAAAGGAGGTGAGTGTCCTCAGGTGCTGGAATGTGGAGGAGCCCACCAGCAGGACAGCACTCCTGCTCCCTGCTCTGGAGCCATCTGTGACTGCCACTGTCTGTCAGTGGAGGTCAAAACCATCCTGTACCCATGGCACCAGAGGACTGCCTCCGTTTCTCTGAGTTATCCCACACATCACACCCGAGCCCAATGCTGTCCAGTAGAAATAGACCACAAGTCACTTATAATGAAAAATTTTCTAGTAGTGACCTTAAAGTGGTAAAAAGAAACAGATAAATTAGTTTTAATAATTTCATTTAGTCTAGTATATCAAAACATAATAATTTAACATGTAATCAATACAAAATTGTTTGAGATATTTAAGTCTTTTTAATACTGTCTTCAAAGTCATTTTGTACTCATAGTCCAAGGCAATTCAGACATTAAACTTTCATTGGACACATTTAATCTGTATTTAGGTTTCATAAATTTGTATGTGAAAGAGTAGATTCATATATCCAAATTGTTTTAGACATACTTAAAGGTTTTCCAATAATTGAATCAAGTAGCAAGATATCATTTGCTTTTTATATCTGCTTCTGCATTGACAACATTAGATTGTCTTTTTGTAGAAGAAATGTTTTGGCTTCAAAGTTAAATCGCGTCAGTTTTAAAACTACATCTCTCTGTCCAAATTAAGTATAATTCACTAACTCTTTTGTCAACTCGGTGGTATTAACATAGAATTAAAATTAAATAAAATTAGAAATTCAGTTCCTCAGTTACATTGGCCTTGTTTCAAGTGCTCAACAGCCACATGTGGCTAGTGGCTATTGTATTGGACAGCATGGCTGTAGAGAATGTCCAAACTAAAAACCTCTGTGCAATGACCCTCCCCATCTCCCACTATGTGCTCAACTGCCACAAAACCCAAGTTACTATGTGAGCTTCTCACAGCCTCTGGGCTACTCTGACTCTTTCAGTGATAAAAATAGTAACACTCAGCTTAGCGAGACAATGTGTCATTGACAGGGTAGGTGAAGGGGAGGACTAAGGAGGGCTTATGACTGGGCAGCCTTAACACATTCCATGCCTCAGTACAGGGGGCTAGGCATTCAGTCACAGCTTGTTCAGATTCCACCTGTTCTTTGAAGCCTTGCTGAACTGCTTACTTTCTCCCTGGAGGAACCCCAATGCCCCAGCAGCCCTGTAACCTGACACTCTATCAAATCCTGTCTTGCATTCATATTACTTTCTGCCTTGTCTTTTGATTATTGGTGCCTACATCTTGTTTCCACTGCTAGCCTGTCAGGATCTGGGCAACAAGGACTGAGCCTTTTCATCTCTCTATGCCCTGTCACAGTCCTCAGCTGAAAATGACATGAATAAGTCCTTGTCTGTACTCCTCACTCTGTGTCTGCTATTCAGATGCCTGAGGTCTGTTAGCATGGTGCAGGCTCCCTCTACAGCTCTAGACACCCTAAGGTCCAACAATAGTGCCTTCAAGTTCTCCTTAAGTGGCTAAGGGCACTGTGCATTTTTTTTTTTTAATTTTAGTTAGAGTCTCACTCCATCACCCAGGCTGGAGTGCAGTGGCATGCTCACAGCCACTCCAGCATCGACCTGTTGGGCTCCAGTGATCCTTCTGCCTCATACTACCAAGGAGCCAGAACAACAGGTGTGCGCTACCACACCTGACTAATTTTTGATGTATTGTAGAGATGAAGTCTCATCAAGTTGCCCGGGCTGGTCTTGAACCCACAGGCTCAGGCAAGGTACTCGCCTCGGCCTCCCAAAGTGCTGGGATTACAGGCTGAGCCACCGAGCCTGGCCTGCACTGTGCATCTTTTACCCCTTTGGCTCCAGTCTGGGAGCAACCAGACAGTAGATGAAAACACTAACAGAGCCAGGACAGTGACAGGAGAAATCAGTGGTCCCTTGTTAGGACCTAGTTTCCTCTCTGTAATGGTGGAGAGGAATGGTGGAACACCCAAAGAAGATTTGCTAGAACTCAGCGGGAAGGAACAACAGCACTTCACCGTTGATATTTCCAACTGTTTCAAAGCCTCCCTACCCATCACCACAGGGAATTCTTAAGATAGTCTGAGAAATGACTAAGTCATCTATTATTCCCAGTGAGTGAAAAAGAAAGGCAAAGAGAGACTGATGCTCATCAAAACTGGTAGCAGAAACAGGCTGGATGTAGTGGTTCACTCCTGTAATTCCAGCATATTGGGAGCCCAGGGGGTCTAGATCAGCCTGGGCAACTTGCCAAGACCTCGTCTCTGTCATAAATCAAAAAAAACTAGCCAGGCGTGGTGGTGTGCACCTGTAATTCCAGCTACTTGGAAGGCTGCGGTGGTAGGATTGCCTGAGACCAGCAGGTCAAGGCTGTGGTGGCCATGAGTGTGCCACTGCACTCCAGCCTGGGTGCAATAGAGACTCTGACTAAAAAAAAAAAGAAAGAAAAAAAGGTATCAAAAACAATAAACAAAAATTCCCACTTGCTGATGCCATAAACTGGTTCTGTCTACTCACCCACATGTGGTAGTGCTCTTGGGACTGAGGAGACAAAACGCATCAAGCCCCCCCAAATCTCAGAACCCCAAATTCACCCTTGAAGGTCTTTTAGACCAATGCCAAGTTTCTAGAAGAGGTAACTGGTCCAGATCTGGGATCCAGAAAGGAGCATGCCTAAGCCCTGGGACATCCCGGAATCCAATCTTGTCCATGCCTCAGCTTTTCCTCTTTAAGAGCCATGCTGAGTCGCCAGGTGTAATTCGGGAATCAAGATCTTGTTCTGCCCTCCTGCCATGTCACTCACCATTCGTGCAGCACCTCACCCGTGTAACATGAGACGCTGGCCTGTGGCCAGTCCACCTATGTGGCCTGTGGTCTTCATCCTTGTTCTGAGTTCTGCCTCAGAGTAGGGCAGTGGCAACAGCAGGAACAAATGGAAGCACAAGAGAGAGCAGGGGATGCCTCTCACAAAGGAGGGGCCATCAGGCCCTACTGGTTGTAGGGAGGACCATGAAGCCGCAGGAGAGGACAGAGTAGATGCCACAACTCACCTGGGTTCTTTGCGTCGCTTCCTCTTCTCCTCCTTCCTGGGAACCTCCTTCTCCTTCTTTGAGGGCGCTCTCTGCTCCTTGAGGGAAGCCCTCTCATCCCTCTTCCTCCTCCTTTCACTAGTCCTTTCTATCTGGCTCCGCTCTTGCTCTCCCAGTCTCCTGTGCTCTGTCTGCTTCCTCCGGGGAGATCCCGGGCTTGGGCTGCCCCTAGTCCACTCCTTCTGGCTCTGCTGGGCTCCACGCTTGCCTGGGGGGCTCCGTGCCTGCTCAGCTCTTGGAGTCCGCTTGCTTGGGGGTCCCCTCTCCAATTTGTCACCTACAAGGGCAGGAAATAGACAGTTCTGGCTCCATGGGTCTCAGTCCAAGAAAATGTCCCCAGCATGAGAAATCAACTGTCCAAGATGCTTTCTAGAGCTTGTCAGCTCTGTCGGGACAGGAGGTGTTTTAAGCTGAAGGAAATCGAGAAAACTGCAGAAGCAGGAAGGTCACTCTTTGACTTTCTCCCTCCTTTCTCTTCTAAAGACCTTCATGGGACAGGTGTCCTGCCTCATACTCAAGAAAAAAAATGTCATACAGAGAGGCCAGGAAGAATCTGAACAAACAGGCTGTGCTCACCTCTCCCTTGTTGATTACCATTAAATCATTGTTCTCCAATCATACTTCCACACAAGTGTCCAAAAAATACAGTTCTCCTTGGGTATTTGGGTCTTCATTTCTCTTTCCTTCTTCCTTCCTTTTTTTTTTTTTAAATTTTTTGAGTGGGGGGGTCTCACTTTGTTGCCTATGCTAGAGTGCTGTAACACAATCATGGCTCACCACAGCCTCAAGAGACCTTCCCATCTCAGCCTCCCAAGTAACTGGGACTACAAGTGCTTGCCAGTATCCCCAGCTAATTTTTAAAATTTTTTTCTAGAGACAAGGTCATGCTGTGTTTCCCAGGCTGGTCTTGAACTCCTGGGCTCTAGTAATCTTCCCACCTCAGCCTCCCAAAGTGCTAGGATTGCAGAAGCGCCACCACACCCAACTAATTTTTTGCAGAGACAAAATCTCACTAGGTTACCTAAGCTGGTCTCAAATGCCTGGACTCAAGTGAACCTCCTGCCTCAGCCTTCTAAAGTGCTGGGATTACAGGCACAAGTCACATACCCAGCCTTTGGGTCTTCGTTTCCAAAGGCTCCTGAGTTACATAAAACTTAAGTAAAATACATGTGAATGCTCCTCTCTTGTTAATCTGTCTTTTGTTATCTGGGCCTCAGCCACAAACTTTGCAATGGCCGAGGAAGGAAATCTCTTCTCCATAGGGCTCCAAAAGTCACCTATTTTTGGCAGCTTCTGGTCTGGGATAAGAATGACTGTTATCTTCTCTACCTGCTGGCTTTCCCACACTCTTGTCTAAAACTCAGGTAGAGACCTAGGCAGGGACTTTTCCTCCTTCTGGATTTACAGTTCCTTGGGATCAAGCTGAGTCATGTCCTGACTCCCAGTACCAAGGCCCTCTGGTCAGGCTGGGTGCTGAGACAGGAAAGACCTGGTTAGCTCCATTCTCTAGGGGCTGCCCTCTGATGTGCCCTCCTTGGTATGGGGAAGAGGCCAAAACTGCCAAGTCAGATAAGATCCTGCTCCTCAGTACTGCCTACATGTTTGTTTGTTTTTAAACAGTGACTTGACAGCATTGACAATGGTCTGGTGGATTAGAATCTACTACTCTACAGTATGAACTTTCCCCATCAGTTTGTCCAACAGCTCGTTTAAGCACAACTATCCATATAGGTATTTACAATCAAATACAAGTGAAACGGTAATGAGGTTCTGGTGTTAGTAACCAACCTCTCTATTGCTTACTAACTGGCGGTCTTTGAACAAGTCAAATCACGTCTCTGAGTCTCCTCTCATCTCTAACATGGGGCTGTTAATACTCTATTAGATAGTAATGAACATAGCACAGCGACTGACGTCTGAGAGAAGGCAATATTGCTCTGATGCTCTTAACCAAAAATAAGATCTTTTTATTTGTAAAAGAACACAGATTTGAAGCTAGACTGACCTGTATAAAAATCCCCGTTACATTATGTATTTATCTCTGTGGCCACAGACAAGTTGCTTTACTTTTCTGCACCTCAATTTACTTACTTGCACAATGACTCTGGAGAGTTACTGAAAGGGTGAGGCCAAAATGGAGTGACCTAACTAGAGAATGGCATTTTAACATTGCTTAAGCTTTGACAAGTTTTGCCAGCTGTCTGTTCTATTCCCTGCTTCCTAATCATTAGCCAAAGAAAGAACCAGCTTTCTGGAAGTAGCCATTGATAATCGTTTTGCCTATCCCAAGTATGTCTTGCACTGATTATTAATCTGTTGTAGGCATTTGTTTTACAGCTATTCAGGACCAAGTTGACCTAATTGTAATCAGCCTTTCATGACTGCCCACTGGCCCACCAGAGGCTGGTTGCCCTGACAATGCCAAGGAAACGAAACCAGTGTTATCAGTACTCAGGAATTCAGTTGCTGGAGGGTTTTTTTTTTACCCTGTCTCCTTGATTAAAACTATAAAAGCCCTCCTTCCTCAACCCCCTTGCTGCACTACCTCTTAGTGTTGGTACTGCTCTGTCTTGAGCGGAATAAACTCTTTGGCTTTACCTTTGCAAATCTTTGCTTTATTCCTGCAACACCAGCCCACTTTGCCTCAGTGTACCCTAACAGTTACATAAAAAGAGGAGTCAGGGATCTGACATATGAGAGCTACTCAACAAAGTTCCTTTCTTCTCCTGTATCTCCAGACTGCATTGCTGCTTCTGCCCTCTGAGGCCCTGCATCAGAGTGGGCTTTGCCAGAACCCCACGCTGGCTGCAGGGTACTTGTTCTCACTGTCTGCGGTGGCACTCATCCTGGTTTTTCTGCCACAACTAGATTTCCCCAACTGTATCTCAAGAGCCCAATTTCTGGGCAGAGAAGAGGGCAGTTTTGCCACATGACAACCCAGCAGCAGTCCTGTAGTGACGGAGCAATGTAGTGATCACAGAAAGCTTTCCTTGACCCTTGAGCTTTTAGGTTCTGAGGAGAAGCCACCCGGTAAAACAGCAACCAAATCTGGATAACAGGATTTGGGGCTGAATTTGGGCAACTTGAGTTAAGGATTTGGAGTCTGAATATCTGGGCCTATGCTTAATTCTGCTGGTTATTACCTGGGGAGCCCTAGGAAGTTACTTGTTCTCTCTGAGTCAGCTTCCTCTTGGGTACTCCAGTAGGTGTGTTGGTGGTCTACTCAGGTCCCCATTGCATGTCCCTGCATAATCCCTTAGGTGCTGCATGTGTTGCCTCTACTAGCTCACAGCTTCTCCCTTCTCTCTCCAGGAGAGGGATACCTGGGCTGTTGGGAAATGCTTGGGAGTTTGCATGTCTCTCCTCTTCTCGGGACAGCCCACAGTCAATTTCTAACTGACTTAGAGGTACAAAAGTCCAGTCCTTCTCCTCTCAAGGAAGGACAAGTCTATGCTTCATTCTTACTCCAGACCTTCATTGGGATGAAGCTAAGGATAGACTCCAGCTGAACACACACCCTGCCTCATCTCCTTCCTCTTCTCTGTTCTGTTACCTGCTCTCTTGTCTTTTGAGAGCAATAAAACTCATGCACAAAAAGATTAGGCTCCATTTTCAGAGAACTCAGCCTGTCCGTGGGCCCTACCTCAAAGGGTGGTAGAAGATTCCACTGGGATAATGTATGTGCAAGTGTGATGTAAACTGGATCTTGTTGGACTTAGTGAATGAAATTGTTCTGAGGTTCAAAGAGAAAATACTCAAAGTTCCCTGTTTGGATTTCAAACTAGGATATGAGTAGTATTTTCAAATGGACAAAGGGCTTGACTGAGTTGGCTAAGAACTCAAAAGAGATGCATTTGTCCCTTTATTCACTAACACATTCACCCATACAAAAATATTCACTGAGCATCTGCCAGGTCCTGTTCAAGGCACAGGAATGTAGCAATAAACAAGACTGACAAGATTCTTTCTCTTAAAGAGTTTTGAGTTAGTGGAGAAGATAGAGATTATGATTGGTTTTATGACCCAAGAAGCATAGGGGTGGGCTTCACCTGGACTTGAGCAGTTGAAGAAGACACAATGAAGAAACTATTTCTAAGCTGAGACCTGAAAATGGGGTATAAGGGTACACAGTGAGTGGGTATAGGTCAGAGTTGAGTACTGAGTGGGTGTGGGGTGGAGGGTAGTTGGTTAGTGGGTATGGAGCAGAGGTGGGTGCTGAGTGGGCAGGTAGTGTGAGCATGGGTGTGAGGAAGGGGTGGGTAGTGAGTAGGTGTGGGGCAGGAGTAGATACTGGGTGAGTGTGCGGAAAAGAGTTTCCAAGACATAGGATTTTCTGTTTTAAAACTGAGGCAGTCCTTTCAGAGCTAAAGCAGTAGAATCCCTGGTAAACCAAGATAAGCTGGCTACCCTAGCTGTAGGTGGAAAGAGCCCTAGAAAAGTTTTAAGCAGAGAAGTGACATGATCAGTTCTGTGCTTTTATAGAGGTCCCATTCAGTCATTTAAACCCAAATGGAGAGAGTCTTGAGATAGAGATAGTTGAAGAAACTGTAAACTAAAGGACATAGGAGAAAGAATTGCATTGCTTTGGCTAAAAAGACAGAGAAACTATGTAAAAAATAAAATGATAGGACTTTTATCTTCTATTCTGACATGAAAGAGCTTGGAAGTGATCCTTCCCATCCTAACAATAACAAAAAAGCTAAACAAACTGAAAAAAAAATACCTCTTCTTAGAACTATCAGATAATTGAGTTCTAAGGGCAAGATACTGCCCCCAATCTGGAAAGAGGTAGGAACGAAAGCCCTCCATGGGAATCAGGACTGGTAGTGTTTTGAGGGATACTCAAGACTTGTAATTAGTTGTGGGAACATGCACAGACATGGATATGACTATCATGAAGGAAGAAATTTTCATACTCACAGATCCCTAGAAATGGGAGGCATGGAATGCCATGTAGGGTCACACAAGGGAGCACTGAGGTCAGTCAGGAGGCAGAGGGAGTGAGGGAGAACATGTGGGCAAGAGCCTTTGTTGCGGCTTCCACAGGAAGGCATGGGTAAGGCAGAGTAGGCAGGCTTAGGAATGGCTAGTCTGAATAATTGCAATGGACTCTGGGACCTAGGGACTGTCTTTGGTTGTTTGCTACCTGGGTCTGTGGGCATTAGGGTAGATGGCTAGTAGCCCAGAGTATGAGTGCCCTGTGAGAGCCTGATGAAGGAGGTGGTTGGGAGCATAAACTCTGGGTTGGTTGGATTGCATATAAAGGATACCTATGCA